TGGTGCCTTAGCCTTTTGCACTACCAGTTCCGGCATGTCAATAATGTGATCCCTAGACGGGTTTACCTCCTGTCGAGTCTCTTCCACACTACCATCAATATCAATTCGAACCTTATCATTGGATTGCTCAACATTTTTCGGGATCTCCTCTTCTTGCACTACTTGCTCTTCATCCACAAGTTGCCTTTTGCCTGAGATGGGTGCATTCCCACCTTTTCCACTCCTTGTAGTAACGGCCATGGCATGTCCCGTGTTGTTTCGACCCTTTGGGTTCACCACCGTGTCACTTGTTAGTGCCCCCTTAGGATGAGTATTTAGAGCTTGAGAGATTTGCTCCATTTGAACTTCCAAGTTACAAATTGATGTATTCTGGGAGGCAAGTTGGGCATTGGAATCGGCATTCTTCTCCATCATTTTCTCGAACATATTCTCAATACGCCCCATTACATTGTTGGAAGAACTTGGACCATGGGAAGGATAAGGAGGCGGGTTGCTCGGTTGTTGATACATCAGGAGCCTTTGAAAACCCGACCCCCGGTTGCCTTGATTATTGTTTCATCCCCCTTGATTGTTACCTCCCCAATTTCCTTAATTGTTGCCACCCCAATTACCTTGGTTATTTCCACCACTCCAATTTCCTTGATTGTTGTTATTATGCTAATTCCCTTGATTGTTTCCACCACTATAATTACCTTGGTTGTTAGAATTCCAATTACCTTGATTACCTTGAGGTCGCCATTGTTGCTGATTCGGGCCATGAGAGTTGTTTCTTTGCCCTTGGTAGTTGTTCACATATTTCACCTCCTCCTCTTGTTCATTGTAAGATTCATCTTGATCAAATCCACTATATTCTTGCACATAATTCTCCACTCAGTTTTGCACTTGTGGACCCTGGGTCCTTCTTTTGTTCACCATCATGCTTACTCCTTCCATGGCATTGACTTGCTTAGGACTTTGCACTTGTTGAGGTTACGCCATTTCTAATTGATTCATTGTGGTGGTCAATTCGGCAATAGCTTGCCCATGGTCATGCAACTCTTTATGGAGGTGAATCACGTTCGGATCATCTTGAGGAACATTAGCCCGACTTTGCCATGCCGATGATATGTCCTCCATTTAATCTAAAATCTCACCAGCTTCCGCATACGGTGTTGTTATGAAATTTCCACCGTCAAGTTGATTTACCACGCACTAATTGGTTGTATTGATCCCCCGATAGAAAATTTGTTGAATCATATTCTTCGTCATGTCATTATTGGGGCACTCTTTGACCATTGTCCTATATCGCTACCATATCTCATGTAACGGCTCATTGGGCTCTTGTTTGAATGCTAGAATCCCGTCCCTAAAAGTAGCCATATGCCTGGGAGAAATGAACTTGGCAATAAATTTCTCCACCAACTCATCCCAAGTGCGGATGGAATGGTTTGGCAATCTTTCCAACCAATCAAAGGCTTCCCCCCCCCCCTCCCGGTAGAGAAAAAGGAAATAGCCTTAACCTTAAAGCATCCTCGGAGACGATTGTCTGTTTACTCCCCCCAACAAGTGTCCACAAACCCCTTCAAGTGTTTGTATGCATTTTTACTTGGAGCCCCGGTGAAGAATCCTCGTTGCTCTAGAAATATGAGTATTACATTAGTGATTTGAAAGTTTCCCGCCCTAATGCTGGGCGGGACTATGGCACTTGCACACCCTTCATTCGGCAACACCCGGTGTGGAGCCGCTCTTGGTGGAGGTGGGGGTGGAATTGGGACGTTGTCTTGAGGCACCCGACCTCTTCTATTTTCTTGAGGTTCAAGAGGAACCTCTTCAACTTGGTCATCATCAACGTCCAAATCTCCCAAAGGCATGTTTCCGATTCGATCATTGTCGTTTGCCATTGTTACACCTACAATTGATTCACAAACATCTGTAACACAGAAGGAAAAGAAGACAATCACCACACAGAACCCAATATATAGCTAAATCCATTTTTTAGCTCCCCGGTAACGGCACCAAAAATTGATCTCGTCCAATTCACACTTCAAATCAAGGTTATGAAACGGTCGATTGCAATAGTAATCCCCAACAAGGAGTCGGAATCGATTTCTACAGGGAGCTATGTATGGGAGTTAGGAGTATATAGTGTAGTACTTGAGTTTGAACTATCTCAATTTACACTTCCACAAATTCGGGTTGTTTCTATGTCTATTTTAAACTAAGATTGCAAAGTTAAGAAATGATACTAGGACATTATTTTTGTTGTTTTTCAAGTTTTGTAAAAGTCCTAGGGCTATGACCATCACCTAGGTGTTTGCCTAATGGGATATAAACCTTAATTCTTGTTTTGTTGATTGGGGTGTATTATATCTATCAACACTCATTTACCTACTCAATACCTCTCGATCAGAAAGTGATTTTGCCCAATTTTGCTTTCTCAAGTACAAATGGGTATTGCACAAAACAGTTGATAAATGCTCAAGTCAGGTTATTACTATCTCTAGGTTGAACCCTTTAATTGGGATTCTCAATCTTTCGATTGACCCAATTTCTTGTTAGCCAAGTTTTACTAGACTAAGTCTCTCTTTCTCAAGTAGAGACTAAGTCAAATAAGCATGAACTAATATTTGCAACCATTAATTCCACAAATTAAAGCATGAACAAGGCTAAATATTAAACACCCAACCCTAACCAAGCATTCAATCAAAAACCCATAAGGTTTACACACTAGGGTTGGGTCACAACCGTAGTAAAAATCTAGCTACTCATGCTTGAAATTGAAGAAATAGAAGAGAATATGCTAATTAAACTCATATTGTAAAATCAAATTGATAAAATCTATGTTAAAATATCCCAAAATATGAAAAAACTACTAAAAGAAGTAAAGAGAAACGGCTACTGTAGCTGTTGATATCAAAGTTAACCTAAAAATATGAAACTCGTCTATTTATGCAGGGCTAGAAATTTCAGACAAAAATGCCCTTCGGGAGGTTCTGCGGCCGCACAATTCCATGTGCATTCCGCAGAATTCTTTAACTTGTCAGGACTGGAAGTCTGCAGCCGCATAATTCTGATCTGCGGCCGCGAGGAACTCTTTCTGCGGTCCGCAGATTTGATACTGCGACCGCATCTTGCTCTTCTGCGGTCCGCACTTTTACATATGTGGCCGCATAGCACTTCTTTTGCGCACTTTTGATGGACTTGGAATGCACATTCTCTGAACTTTTCTCCTAGCCCAGCTTTTGCGGCCACATAATTCATGTGCGGACTGCACTTTGCACCAAACTCTACTGACTTTTCCTTCATAATCTGCGATCGCAGATGATATTCTGCGATCCGCACTTCTGAGCTTCTGTGCCTTTTATGTCCTTGAGTTCAGATTACTCCTTCTTGAGTTGGATTTCATCTTCCAATATTCCTGCAATTAAGCACATTTCATCAGTTTTGGGAAACACAATTAAACGCTTTTGGACTAAAACAAAAGCTAAAAGGCGCTAATAAGTAGTCAAAATCCTCACTTATCAACTCTCCTTGTGCAATTTTGAATATGTCGGCCTTTCGGGCCTGCACCTTTCTGGCCCCGGCATGAGCCTTAGTAAAAGAATTCGCGAGCATCTCAAAGGAATCTATGGAATTCTTGGGTAACAACGAATACCACGTCAAGGCTCCCTTCGTGAGAGTCTCTCTGAATTTTTTCAGCAAACAGATTCGATCTCGTGGGGAGCTAAATCGTTCCCCTTCACCGCCATTGTATATGTGACAATATGCTCTTGAGGGTCCGAAGTCCTATTATATTTTTGCATGTCGGGCATTTTAAACAATTGGGATTAATGCTGATGTCGCGTTTGGTTTGTACGGCAACTGAGTATACTTCTTTGAGTCCGGTCCTTTCAGCACCGGTGGTGCACCCGGGATTCGTTCCATGCGGGCGTTTACTTCCCTCATAAACCGTAAGAGTTCGCTTTTGAAGGGATCGCTCTTGTTGTTGTGACCGGATCCGCTCCCCCGGCCCCGTCGAAGCCAACCTCACCCTTCGAGGTGTTGTTGTCGATCCTCTGGTTGTTTGATTTGCGGGAACACCGGGAGGAACTGCACCTCGTCCGTTCACGTTACTTGAAGCACCCGATAACGCCTACTTTAGTTCTGTCATAACCTTATCCTGCCGAGTGAGATGGCCTAGAATGGCCTCTTGTTGCTCCTGCAGGATCCTTACCGCTTCAACAACATGCTCCTCTTCAGCATCATGGGGGACGCCTCCCGAACATGACACGGGTACCGTCTGCCGTGGATCGGCGTGGCTTCACACCCCTCATTGCGGGTATCGCTGATTGAATCCTCGCGCTGAGGCTGGTCGCCTTGGGCCTCAAGATTGTTTGTGTTGTTAACACCATTGTCTGCCATTTTATGTGATTTTTTGCTAAGAACAAGTAATCAAAATACGTTAGTAAAAGAGGAAAGGACCAACTTAATTACATGACTGTCTAGGCCCCACGGTGGGCGCCAAATTGTTTACCCGTAAAACGGTACAGTTGAATTTGTACGTGGTTTCTAGACAAGTTAATTACTTCAATCCTAAAATAGTAAATGGATTGGATAAATACGCAATACTTAGCCTTGAGATGAAGATGAAATAGTAGAAACAGTAGTTTCGAGAGAAGGGCTTCTAGGCAGAACATCAATGAAATCAAAAAGCAAGAAGATAAAATTATAATAAGTTTTGAATAGATTATAGCATAAGTTCGATAGAAAATTCGTGTCCTTTATAATAATAACAGAGCTTACTATTTATAGCTGCACATAAGGAACAAGGTCCTAGGATCATGCCTTTCTTTAATGTCAATTATGAGAGCCATTGAAGAATGTGTAATGGAGGACATGAATGACAAATTTTTTGTAATGGGCAATGTACTAAATACCGTAGAATATTCTCCATTGAATGCTACCGGTTGGCAGACATTTATTGCATCTTTATGAGCATCATTCTTTCCGATAACAAATGGAACAGTTGTCTTCGGTTTTAGCTATCCTCTGCCTTCGGCTCCACATGGCACTCTCTTATACAATGACTTAGCATAGCATATTTTACCGTATACATTGTCCAGTTGGATAGTATTGTTTGAGACAATATTAATTATATTACAAACCAGAGTTTTTCTAACAAAAGTAGTTCCTAGGATGTCTGCCCAGAGTGCTTCTTTGGCAAACACCGGAGGAACTTCCAAAATCCTACTGGTGTTGAACAATCTTTTCCTTGCTCCCTCCTTAGCCAGTAGGTCTGCCACCCGGTTATGCTCTCTGAAGTTATGACCGATTGCTGGGTACCCCGGTTGAGTCATCAATGACCTGTATTCAAAAACAAAGTTGTTATAAGGGATATGACCAAATTCCAACATTCTAATGATCTCTTTTGAGTCAGTGTTGATCACAAGAGGGGTTAGATTGTGCTCCTTTGCTAGCTTAAGCCCTTCTAGGATTGCTAGTAACTCGGCTAGATTGTTAGTTATAGATGGATAAGCCCTCATATAGCCTAAAATCCAGTTTCCGGAGTCGTTCCTAATAACTCCCTTATTCCTCCTACCCAGGTTACCCACGGAGGAACCATCAGTGTTAAGTTTGAAGAAACCTCTATCAGGTGGTTCCCATTTAACACTGATTGTTGTCCATTGCCTTTGAGGTTTATTCCTCGCTAGCAGGTGATATTCAGTAGCCTGAGCAAGCACCAACTTAGCTTGGACATAATTATTCCTCTTGTTGAAAAGGTTATTGTTCCTAGTTAGCCATACATTCCAAAAGCAAAAAGACTGCAGGAAGTTTGAGAGTTGTGATTCATAGTACAATATCCACCAAATTATACCAGACGTCGTTTTATATTCCGAGACACTCCAATTTTTTTTGGTAGATATTCCAAATATTTTATACTTTTTCATATGTTTCAACATTTAAATTTATTAAATAATTTTGAATTTTAAATGTGAAACTTTTATATCAGACTAATATTTTAATCAATATATATTTTTTCTAATATTTTTAATATATATATATATATATATATATATATATATATATATATATATATATATATATATATATATATATATATATAAAAACTAATTTTCTAATTCAATATCATCATATAAAAAAGAAACAATGAGGTAATATTTCTATGGTTTTTAAATTTATAATTTTTGATAATTTAGTAAATTGAAATTCGAGTTGGTACCGAGGATTAAAATTGTTAATCTTTATACTTTAAATCTGATCATTGTTTCTTAAGATGAAGGGTGTGTTTGGTATGCAATTTCCTAGAAAATGAGTGATTTTATCACTTACTTTCCCTTGTTTGGTTGGTGAGTGTAAAATTTTTTCCGAATTTTTTTTTCTGGTGTTTCGTTAGAGAGTATAAAATATTTTTAGGAAAATAGTTTTTTATCTCAACCCACCTTCCCCAAAACCCCCATGTTTCCTATACTCTTTCCCTCCCCCCTCCCACACTCTATTTTCTTCAAGAATTTAGTTATTCTTTTCAAAATTCATACAATCCCAAATAAAATAATGTGCAACTTTACCATTTCACACAAGAACAACGCTGAAATTTGTGTTGGATAACTAAAAAAAATATTTTATTTTGGTGAAAAAGAAAATATCATTTCTACAACATGAAAATAAATTGCTCATTTTGTTGAATGAAAGAAAATACTTTTTCTACACCATGAAAAGAAAGTACTCGTTTTGTTAAAATGAAAGAAAATATTTTTTTCCACATTAAGAAAAGAAAAATACTTAGTTTGTTGAAATGAAAGAAAATACTTTTTGTACATCATGAAAAGATTGTAGTCCTTTTGTTGGGAAAAAAAATATTTTTTCTACATCATGAAAAGAAAGTACTTGTTTTGTTGAAATGAAAGAAAATGTTTTTTCTACATCAAGAAAATACTTTTTGTACATCATGAAAAGATTGTAGTCCTTTTGTTGGAAAAAAAATACTTTTTCTACGTCATGAAAAGAAAGTACTTATTTTGTTGAAATGAAAGAAAATATTTTTTCTACATCATGAAAAGAAAGTAACCATTTTGTTGAAAAAAATACTTTTTCTATTTCAGGAAAAGAAAATATTTAGTTTGTTGAAATGAAAGAAAATACCTTTTCTACGTCATAAAAAGAAAGTACTCGTTTTGTTAAAATGAAAGAAAATACTTTTACTACGTCATAAAAAATATACTTATTTTACTAAAATAAAAAAAAGTACTCTATCTACAACATTAAAATAAAGTACTCTTAATAATAGTTCTATTTAAGGTGGGTGGAGGGGTGGCTTGGGGGTGGGTCGGTGGGCGTGGGTTGGTGAGGATTGGGAATAAGGTGTAGAAGGTTGAAAAAGAGTTTTGGAAAATAGGGAACATTTTTCTCCAATTGGAGAAAAATAAGTTCATGAATAAAATGTTTTCTAAAATATTTAAGCTAACCAAACATGGAAAAATTGCAAAACATTTTTTCAAAAAATATTTTCCTTCAACACACCCGAAGAGAGTATATTATTTGCTAACCACTACCAGGTTCAATAGTTCTATTGTGATGAAAACTCATGTCTTCAATGAAAAACTCTTTTAGCGTCATAAACTTTTTTTATTCTTCATGCATCAAGATTAGCAGACAAACATAAAGTAATGTTTCGGTTAATATGCAAGTTAATAGGGGTGATTTTTAAAAATAGCCAGATTTATAACTGGTCGTTCAAAAATAGCCCAATTTCAAAAGTAAACGAAATTTAGCCACTTTTTATGTAAAGATAAATCCGAGCGAAAACACTGTTCAAAACCTGAAAAATACTCCAGTATATTATGCTGGAGTTCCAGCATAAGTATACTTGAACTCCGGCATATTATACTGGAGTTCCAAGATAGTATGCTGGAACTCCAGCATAATATGATGGAGTTCCAGCATAAATACACTAGAACTCCAGCATAATATACTGGAGTTCCAGCAAAGTATACGGTCCAGCATAATATGCTGGAGTTCATACACAAGTGCACCGAACTCCAGTATATTATGCTGAACCGATCTCTATTGCGGCAAAACGATGGCTATTTTTCATTGACTTGCTAAACACCGACTATTTTTAATTGACCAGTTCGAAAACTGGCTATACCGTAAAATTTTGGCAGTTAATAGTGCAATATTAAAACCGAACGCTCTGCCTTTTCGTCTTATTGAAGAATAGAAACATTCAAGCAGATTGGATGGGCCCCCGACGACAAATATTCAACTCCCCACCGAAAGTAAACATCCGATAAAAACCACAATTTTAATTTTTTTTAAGAAAAAAAGAAGAAGTAGGCTGGTCAAACTGTGCATTGACTGTTCTCAGTAATGGGTCATTTTTTGTCATAATACTGATGGACCCACTTCATCCAAATGGTTGCTATTTCCGGAGTGATTTTATTTTGTGCTAACACAACTTATCAGTGAGACCTCTTTTTATCTTTTATATTTGTGTACTTATATTTTATATATTTGGATCACAAAAATTTTAAGACCATACATTTGTGAGACAAAAAAGAGACCTCACACACAAAATAAAATTTTTCATATCTCCACGATTCTCGAATTAGGAGGCTTTCACATATGCACATACCACACCGCTTGTGAAATGGAAGGACCCAAAATTCCAAACAAAATAATAATAATAATAATAATAATAATAATAATAATTAAATGAAAACATTGCATAACTACTGAAATGAATCTTTTTAAGATAATTATGACTGTATAAAATCATTCGTTGGGTGAAATTTTGTCAAAAAGTAGTCACATCATACAACTACCAATCAATACCAAACTATTTACGGCCAATTATAAGGGTTTTCACTGGTCGTACTTTTTAAATTAAAACTTGAGGCACGTCCTAAATCGAAAATACCTTCGCTATTTCATTATAAGTCCTTTTTTCAAATTAGCATGTTCAGAATTTTGACACCATTCTGCTTCCTCATAAGTTTCACAAACCTTTAAGAATTTGATTTTATTAATTTATAATGTTATATTTTTTATATCAAGAAAAAAAGTCTTGATTTTGAACTGCTAAAGAAAAGAGAAAGAGTCTCTGACTTGGGACCTGCATTGCATCTCCTCTTATGCATCTTCTTCTTCTTGGTGAAAATTAATAATACATGATGGTGCTTCATTCGAAGTGTATATGGCTTACCTAGGAGTTTAAGTTTATGCTAACTTCAGGCATTATTATGGGATGCCAACTTTAGATATTCAATTCTAACTTTAGACCCGTATATATGAAATTTCAAACTTCAAATAAACTATCTCAGCTTCAATCTTGCAAGTATTAATATAATTCTGAAGCGGCTAAATTTTACAAACTTTATAAACTATGGCAATTCTTTTAATAGAAGTCCTCCAAGCGGCTATTTGTGCACTTCTTGTAGAATTCGGTCTTGGACTGGCCTGGTTGTCCACATGTCCGTAATTGTTCTATTTATTTGGTAAATGATTCTTGTCTATGAAGAAGAAAGTTTCTAGACAGATACATTTCTATTATGTTAGAGCACCAAACTGGAATATGTCTCTAAGCTACGCCTGAACAAGGCCCTTGTACCCCTTCCAAACACGTTTCTGTGGGAAGTCTAAGCTATGTCTGGGTCATCTACAATAGATGAGGCTGGTTTGAACATTAATTGTAACAGCACAACCCGCTAGTGATATTGTTCGCTTTGGGCCTAGGCTCGCATGATTTTAAAACGTGTCATTAGGGTCTAATTAGGCTTGTTAACTTATATACCCAGCATCTCTATTGTATTTTGCCGATGTGGAACTTTGTCTAAACTCTGGAGTGTTACATTAATGAGGACGTAATAACTCATATTATGCTGGAAGTCAAAATTAAAATGGGTCAAGGATTGAAATATTGCATAATTGGACAGTGTTAACTGAAGAAATAACTTGTGCAAATCAATCAATTCATGGTCTATGGAAGAAATTAATGTTGCATAAATGAACATCATAGAACATTGATTTGATGCTCCAAGAATACACCCCCTGTCACTTGTCTGTGCTGATGCGGCCGACTCTAGACAAGGAATTGGCATCAAAATGATCTGTCTCATCATAGATCTCCTCCTACACCAAGAAATTACGAATTTTAGGTCAGAGAACTAAGAACAAGGATCAGATTACAGGAGGAAATATTTTCTTTACATTTAGAAGCTCCTCAATGACATCTTCCATGGTTATGATCCCAATTACTTCTTCTGACGAAAGTGCTGAAAGTGATTTTTCCTTAATTGGCAGGATCGCAGGATGAACTTCCTCCGACCACCTTCTGCTTTTCGAGTATTCCCTCCGTGAAATACTTGCGTTGAATCTCTTTGACTTCCTCAGTGATCGTCTGGCCCTTGAACTTTTCCTCTGATAAAAGTGTTCTCCAGGAATATTCAATCTCACTTCTCTTACTGAAGTGGCATTTCATATGTAAAAATCAGCTCATGAGAAAAGTAAGACGGAGAAATAAAGAGGAATAGATGAGCTAAATTATGGGAAAATGCAAACAACATTTATAGACTGTAATTTCTTCCTCACCGCCATTCGACAGGTTGGCGCTTTCTTTCTCGGTTGTGTCATCGCGCTTTTTCACAACAGCAGCCATGTGGCTGAGACCTTTCTGGAATTCATTAAGTAAGTCATACAATGGCATTGCCGCTGAAACTCTAGCATGTTTGGCAAACGAAGTCAGGAGACTATTTAACAATGTAGTATGTCAGTGCTATGATTCACTAAACTAAGCATAAAATGACAGTACTATCAATTTGACATGTGTATAAATGCAACTATGCTGCCAGGCCCCTGGATTTTGTTGGCACTAAACAGTAACTAATGCAATGACCATGCAAAAGCTTTGGACAATATTTTCTATCTTAAATACCTTGGGATACGACGTATTGTTACATTCTTCACCGAAAGGTTGTCTCTTGGATTAATTGTCACCAAATTCTTCACCTGTTTGTCAGAATATAAACTCTTATGTTATCACCATAATTAGTAAGCATACACTAACAGAGTCGAGCATCTATATGAGATAGATATTTTAACTAGAAAAAAACTCTGATTTTGAATCATGATCCAGTTTGAATCTATACAGACTGTGATGACTTGACATTGTCTATTTGGATCTACAAAAAGTGTTACTTTTTCTTGGGTAGGTCAAACTAAGGTAGCCTGCTTACTTTAAGCTTTGATTTTTGTTTAGTTGAATGAAATTTGTAAAACCACTTTTTCACATGATATTGTTGGTAAAGCTGTCTTTCAAATACATCATGTCATTTTGCATTTCTATTTTCTGTACAAATACACACACACACACATATGAATTATACTTGGAGCTTGCAAAGTAGTTTGGAATTTATACTTGATGCTGCAACAAGGAAATGCTGCTTGATTCCCATCTTGGGACAGATGTAAGGGGTAAAGATGAAAGATTTTCCTCTTGGGACACAAACATCTCCCAGCTTGATTCAAGCAAGAAAGTCAGTAATTACCAAAGATATGTTATTTTTGAATTGGTCTATTTTGAAACCTAGCATATACAGAAGGAAGAACGGCGGCTAAGTGTTGGCCTGGATCTTATGGATTTACATAGCCAAGATAACAATACTTCAATGTTACATTTTCATGTGCAGTACTGAGCCAGCAGGATATTACCAGGACAAGTCCGACTATGTTTGTTGGATGTTCGTAGTACACTGGAACCCTGCTATGTCCCTTCTCCAAGATTAAATTTATCAGATCCCTGCTCAAAGACATCAAATTATCTTATCTTATGCATCTCACTTCTTTTGTAAGCATTTAAGTTATATACATTATCAGTTGCACTATATTGGTAAATGGTCATGAAAACTCATTTAAAATGTACCTGTCAAGATTGGCATTGATGTCAATAGCAAAAGTTTCAGATATAGGAGTCATAGCATCCGTTGCAGTCTTCTCGGTGAGCTCAAGCGCTCCTGCAATTATAGTTGTCTCATGAAGCGATAACTCTCCCCCCTTTCCTGCCTGATTAGTAACAACAGTAAGAAGTTAGCAGGATTGGAAGGGGTAGAGGTATTTCACATCTATTAGGACAAGAACCAAGGAGAAGGGAGGGTAGAGAAATTGAAATAGTTTTAACTTCTATGTGCTGACTATGTTTAGAACTTTTGAACTATCAGGTCACGTAAAAATAGCTATAGATACGCTGTTAGTGTATAATTCATTTACATTAGACAAGCTGCATCCTCTGAAAGTAAAAGAGGGATAGAAAAACAGTCCTTCAGCGGAGAGTGACAGGTTAAGTACCTTGTTACCGTGCATGTCAACTAGTGTTCTCAATTCAGCTCGTCTAAACAGAGATTTATGCCCTTTCCCCAACAGGTAGTCCAAGATCTGTTGATCAAGAATATAAGAAAGCAAAATTGCACATGCTACTTTTTCTGACAAGTATTACACAGATACTGGTTCTGGAAATATGCAATTTATGCTACATTTCTCATAAATGCAGAGAGAGAGAGAGAGAGAGAGAGAGAGAGAGAGAGAGAGAGATTCGCACCTTGCTGATTGGATAGGCTACCGGAAACCAAAACCAAATAAGAACACGAACAACTGGAGCAACAGTTGCACCAATGGCTAATCCATATCTTGCACACAGAGATTGTGGTATAATCTGTACACCAAATGTTTAAACTTTGTACTTGATATGTAATAGAAAATAAAACCAGGGCTGAAAAACATCTAACATCCCTTATGCAGCTGCTAAGGCGAATCAATTTGTGATATGTGAGAACTAACCTCACCAAAGAGGAGTATCAATGTCACAGAAAGAAGAATTGCTCCCCAATCTGGTACTAATTCATCAAGAAAAACAGGAAGTGCCTGGGGAATTAATTGAAGAAGTATTCTTGTCAATTACAATTGTATAGCTGCTACACTTCTTTTATAGCAGCAGTGCTTACCTCCATAGCAGCAGCATTGCTGATCAGAAGCGTGCATAGCAATAGATGTTGTTGCTTCACAATGGGTAAGATCTTTGCTGAAGTGACCACAAAAGAAATTAAACATGTTGGTCATCAACATTTAAACCATCTCCGAGTCTCTTCTCCTAGAGAATACACTTGTCCCTCTGTAAGGGTTCCAAAAATGTTCTTAATGTCCTAACTTACTCTCTACTTAGTTTATTAGATTTTTGGGTTGAATGTTTAGATTCTTTCACATGATATCAGAGTCGTATTTTGAATATCTTATTTTCACAACCGTCTTCTCTCCCTACCTAGTGTACTTATTCATCCTCTCAATTTCATGCCCTCTAGCCAAATTTTGGTAAGCTCATTGCCACAACTGTCTTCTCTCTGCCTAATGTATTTGTTCTCCCTCTCAGCTCCATACTGACTCTTGGACCTGATTTCTCTATAATAATTTTTTTTTTAAAAGAAAAAAATATCTTCAATGGACGTGTAAATTCTAGAACTGGGTTACACTTGTGATTTCAATAATGGAACTACATTTCAAGTAGAAGAGCTGACTTATTGTTTCACTAGCGAGAAAGTTATTAGTATTAAATTTAATATTTGTCTTTGTTGCTTGGTAACTGGACTAAAGAATGACAAGAAACTTTTAATGCATAGAATAAATTAAGAAATGGAAAAGAAAGAAACAAATATATGTGGAGAGTGCATACAAGCATGGAGACGATCTTTGGGCGTTCCAGATTTTGCAAGAACCTCAAGATCAATAATGCTCATAGACATGAGGCCTAAAGTGAGACCAGACATCAAACCAGCGCACAAGACTAGAAACACAACTGCTACAATATAGAGGAAGAACTCTGTATTGCAGCATTTCAAGATCGTGTGTCCCATTATAGTTTCTTCCTTCCTTTTCTCCTTACTTTATGTCCTCTTATATATTGAAATGTAACTGTGTTTGAGGTTATTCATGAAGGAAAGAAAAATGAAAATAAGCTAGTATTTGGGCGAGAAACCCCATGATAAAGCAGTGGAATATCTTTTTGCCTGCATGCAGGGTATAACAATATATCCGGCCAAGTTTCTTGGTTTACTCGATAAGGACATGAATCCAATTGCTAACCTTCTTAATTTAGCAGCACATAATTGTTTCCTTTTTGACTAAAGACATCATTCTCATTTATTTGTGCTATTATACTAGTCAGTTAGGGGTGTCAATGAATATTCAAAAATTGATTAAATCGGCCGAACTATACCATATCGAACCGATTTTTAGTTTTCTTTTAATAAAACCGTAGTTTTTTTCTGCTAGTGACTTTTACATGACATTTAAAAAAATATCGAAAATTAATCAAATCGTACCGATACCAAAGAAAAACCGACATGATTGTAACGATTTCGAAAAGTGATGTATTTAGTCCCAAAAATAGCACATTTTCACCTATGTTTTCCACTTTACCCCAACTTCGACTTCTGGGTACATACATATATAAGTTGAAAAGCTTGTCCGATAACGATAATTTTTACCTGCCCCAGTCATGCTCAAATGTCGTTGAACCTGGAGCAGCCCCATTGAAGTCTTGACCAAGTAGCGTCTTTGCGGATTCCCTTCTTGTTGGGGTGGTTCTATGGTTTCGACAAGTTTTGGACGAGCAGACAACTCAAACACCTTCAAGTGACTACTGAATTTCACAGCAAATAACATTTGTGCATGAAAAATGGCATCATCGTATCCCGTCCTACCTTTGCCAATGCATGTCCACCTTTTATCTCCAAGTTTGCAGTAGGCCAAGTTACAATGACTACCATAAATGGCAGCAACCATGAAATTACCTTTGTTTAGCAGTCCTGGAGTTCAGGATATATGAAGATCCTCAGTAAGTCCAGTTGGAGATTTTAAATCCGCATAGTTAGCATGAGATATAAAAAAAATTATAAAATCATGTCCAGTTATGTATCACGAGGATATTGAAATTGCACGAGACTCTAATCTTTGGATTACTGGTCAAAGACTTAGCTCACAACAATACTATAAGTGTTTTCAGGAAGTACCTTAAAAGATAATCAAGTATGAGAAGTGGAGTTTATGATTGAGGCAAACAATAGAACTATGGTGAAAGAAGTTCGCCGCTTAGCCAAGCTAGGAATTCGACTTTCGAACTCCGAAGATGGTAGAGTTGTTTTCCAAAACATGATTTGTTCCTCCTTAGTAGCCGAAGTGAAGGAGAAACAGTTTGATGATCCCTACTGAAGATGGTAGATTTGTTTTCCAAAACATGACTTGTTCCTCCTTAGTAGCCGAAGTGAAGGAGAAACAGTTTGATGGTCCCTACTTGTTGCAGCTGAAAGAGGGGATTCACAAGCATAAGACGATGGATTTTGAACAAAAAGGAGATGATGGTACTTTAAGGTACCAAGACGGACTGTATGTTCCAAACATAGATGGACTTAATTAGAGAGGGAGGATCATGTTAGAAGCCCATAATTTTAGGTATTCTATCCACCCAGGTTCCCCAAAGATGTAGCGTGCTCAAGGAGATTTATTGGTGGAACAACATGAAAATTAACATCGCGGACTTTGTGGCCAAGTGTCCGAATTATTTGCAAGTGAAAGTCGAGCAGCAGAAAGCCTAGTGTTTTACCACAAAATACACATATTCTTTAGTGGAGATGGTAAATATGGACTTTATAATAGAATTATCTCGTTCATTTTGCAAGCATGATTGATTGGGTGATTATAGATCGACTTACCAAGTCAGCGCACTTCTTGCCAGTAAAGACCACAGATTCAGCAAAAGATTATGCCAAGTTGTACATTCAAAAAACGTCTGATTGTATGGGACTCTGTTGTCCATAATTTAGATCGTGGTGCTCAGTTTACAACAAACTTTTAAAAATCCTTTCAGAAAGGGTTAGGCACAAGAGTAAACCTCAGCACTTTTTTTTCATCCTCAGAAAGATAGCCAGGTAGAGCGCACTATTCAGAGACTTGAGGATATGTCATTGATTTCAAAGGTAATTGGGATGATCACATACCTCTCATTGAGTTTTCTTAAAATAACAGCTATCATTCTAGTATCAAGATGGCATTGTACTATGTGCGAAGGTGTAGATTGCTAATTGGTTGGTTCGAAGTTGGAGAAGCAGAGTGGTTGTGTAATACTCTTCATTACAAAAAAATAAGGTAATTAAGTAATTTACAAAAAAAATCAACTAATAAACAAAAACAATACAATAAAAGATCAAATAGGGGCAAAGCCCTACGCTAACAAAAACAAAAGATAAGGGGGGAAACAACTTTACTCGGCAGAAACAAAACGAACAGAGTCGATCAAAAGCAACCACAAAGTGGGTTTACTCTGTTCTAGCAAAGAGATTTACAGAGAAGGGGAACAAGCTAGGTAATGGAATTCTGAAACTTTTCTATGGTAATCTGATTCCTTTACTTAATACTTGGCACACTATTAGCTATTACTTCGTTAACTAAGGGAAGAAACAACAAAATTCAAGTTACTTCTAATCTAGTACAGATAATGGAATTTTATATACATAATTCTTATAGGACAGAGTAGATATAATTTTGGAATTGGATTAAGAATTTGAAAGATAAAGTTAAGAAAATTGGGAGAAATTCATGAGACTTTTATGTGAATTAACTGGGTATATTATATGAATATGTTGTATTTAATAGATTTTGAAGTATTCTAAACTACCAGTAGCGTGAGTAAGTATAAATTGACGAATTAAGAGTCAAACATGAAACCCAAAGGGTTGGGTATTCTAAATTAGCTATGAATTAGCTAAAACAAGGAAATTAACACAAGATTGGTGTTGATGTGGTTATAGATTGATTGAAGAAAGTCATACGGATCGCTATCGGTGACGAGTTTGGTATTTTGACACGAGTATTATGAGTAGTAATCTTACCGCAATTTGTGCTTTCATAACGTGCATGGTTTATACATGATTTTGAAAATAATATTTGTTACCGAATATTTTAAATTGCATGTGGGACAAGTCCTTTACTCGATATGATACTGAAATTGGTTATTTGAGATGATTACTGTTGTTTTAAATATTCTCGTAGTTACCAGATATTTTTACCATTACTTGAAATTATTGTTATCGAATGAAATTACATGATTGATATGAACTGAAATGCCCTGTACTATTTTAAAAATATTTCTATATGAGTATTAATTGATTACAAAAACAAGTATAAATGGGAGGAGACTATGAAGGATCCCGTAGCTAACGGCGGCTTTGTTAGACCTGGTGCACCTTGTATTTACAGATTACCAAGTACAGTTATAGCCATCGCTAATGGAAAGGTAGAACTAGCATACAGTTACAGTTTTTCCTCAAGTAAGGACCTACAGTTATATTTGACTCTTTTTACGAAGGGGTCTACACAGTGATACAAATTACATGATCCTTTCTTGAAAACCTCCCAAATATGAATATTGATATTACATAGTGTTTACCAAGCTTATTACCGAATTGTCAATTGAATTATATTACGTGAAAAACATGATGAGCTTGATTATTGTTTATTATTTTCGAAAGGGCATTCTAATGATATTTCAGTTTAATATAGTTGCACATTTTTTGACTGGTCCCCAATAAAAGTGATTGTGATTAAGCGTTATTACTCACTGAGCTAGCGACTCACTTCCCACTATTTTTTTTTACAGAGACAACAGTTGAAGCAGGCGAGGATTTTGTTAATTAGAGCGCACATGTTGATAGTTCTTGGTGAGCCTCGTATTTGTTCGCGTTGGCAGGGAGTTTTAATTGATTGTTATGGTATTTTCTTTGAACACTTAGAGTCTCTCCATAGTCATTATTTTAGTGTCATGAGTATTCTTTCGTTATTATAGACTTATGCTGAGTATTGTACTTTCATATCAAAGTTGGGGATAAATTAGTATTTCTAGCTGTTAGTGGGTGGACTATTAGTGGTAGAGATTTGTTTTGGTTAATTGATAAAGTTCTTGTTGTTTGGATTGATATTAGGATGTTTGGTTGTTGATTTGATACAAAAAAATTTTTGGATAGTCCAAAAACAGGGGAAACTCTGTTTGATTTTATGTAAAATACCGATGAGGCTTACTTGGGGGCAATTGCTCCTAAACGTCGGTCACGATCCTAAATTGGGTCGCGGCATGTTGGGACCAAATTTGGTCTATTAAGCTATGAAGAAAGTCAAGTTGATTCAAGGGCTTTTGAAGACGGCTCAGAGTCAGCAAAAGTCCTATTCAGACGTGCGGCGTAGAGATCTAGAGTTTCAAGTTGATGATTGGGTGTTTCTGAAAGTTTTGCCTATGAAAGATGTTATAAGATTTGAGAAGAACGGAAAGCTTAGTATCAGATACATTGGGCCATATAGGATCCTACAAAAGATCAGGCAAGTAGCTTATTAGAGTTGCCACCAGAATTGGCGGTTGTGCACCCAGTATTTCACATGTCATGTTATAACATTCATATTTCCAGTATTCAGATCTCATGTTATAACTTTCATATCAGTTCAGTACTCAAATACTCATATCAGTTCAGTGTTGATACCCAATTTTTCCCTCATATTTTTAAATTGTGTATATATATATATATATATATATATATATATATATATATATATATATATATATATATATATATATACACACTTTCAAAATAGTATATTTGCATCATCATTTAGTTTATAAACCTATACAAGCATTTTACATAATTTTCCATAATTTTTGAAGCCCTAAATTAATTTCTTTCTGCACTTTATTGTATAAATATTAAATAATTATCCTTCAAATTATTTTTTTATGATCCAAACTTATTATTTACACCAGCACGCATGTTTTTAAATATTTTACTTTATTTTTCATAATTGCATTTGCATT